AAATCTTAAAGAAAAAGATACAGGATGTTATGGACAGTAAGTGTAAAATACTTTTTTTAATTTTCAGGGGGAAAAGAAAATTTTTATAAGTAAAAAAAATTATCTCTTCAGTAAAGTAACAAATGAATTTTTTGGAGACAGGATCTCACCATGTACCCCTTCTTCTTCTTCTTCTTTTTTTCCAAGACAGGTTTCTGTAGCTTTGGAGCATGTCCTGGAACTCGCTCTGTAGACCAGAGCTGGCCTTGAACTCGTAACTCATAGAAATCCGCCTGTCTCTGCCTCCTGAGTACTGGGATTAAAGATGTGCAGTCACTGCCCAGCTTATGTACTTCTTTCTTGACCCAGAACTTACAGTATAAACCAGGCTGGCCTCAAACTCACAGAGGTTGGCCTGCCTCTGCCTCTCCTGTTCTGGTATTAAAGGTATGAGTCACCATGCTCAGTTTAGATTTTTTAATAATTTATTTTTATTTAATGTTTCATTTAATGTTTTAGGACCAGGCTGCCAGACTGTCCTCAAACTGCCTGCTTCTGCCTCCCGAGTGCTGGGATCAAAGGTGTGCACCACCAACGCCCAGCTAGTCAGTGCTCTTTACCCAGAGCCACCCCACCCCCCACCCCCACCCCCCCACCTCACCACCTCCTGCTGCTATGGTGTGCTTTCCCAGTTGGTTGGCTTGAAAGTTCCTGGGAAATTGTGTCTCTACCTCATATCTTGTTTTGAAGTGCTGAGATTACAGACACATACAACTGCATTGGGCTTTGTTTGTTACTTTGATTTGGTTTGTTTGTTTTAATTGGTTTGACTTGGTTTTTCTTTTCTTTTCTTTCTTTCTTTTTTTTTTTTTTTTTTTTTTGGTGTTTTCGAGACAGGGTTTCTCTGTGGCTTTGGAGGCTGTCCTGGAACTTGCTCTTGTAGACCAGGATGGTCTCGAACTCACACAGATCCACCTGCCTCTGCCTCCCGAATGCTGAGATTAAAGGTGTGCGCCACCACCACCTGGCCCTTGGTTTAGTTTTTCAAGACAGGGTTTCTCTCTGTATACCTGGCTGTCTCGGACCTCACCACTACCTGGCAGCATTGGGCTTTTTGTTTTGTTTTGGTTTTTGTTTGTTGGTTTGTTTCTTTCTTTCTTTTTTTTTTTTTTTTTTTTTGGTTTTTGTTTCTTTAAGACAGGGTTTCTCTGTATTGTTTTGGAGGCTGTCCTGGAACTCACAGAGATGCACCTGTCTGTACTTCCCCAGTGCTGGGATTAAAGGCGTGGGCCACCAATGCCTAGATTTTTTTTAACTTTATTTTATATGTTGGTGTGAAGGTATCAGATCCCCTGGAACTGGAGTTAAGGACAGTTGTGAGCTGCCATGTGGGTGCTGGAAATTGAACTCAGGTCCTCTGGAAGAGAAGCCAGTTCTCTTAACTACTGAGCCATCTCTCCAGCCCCCTGGCTTTTTTAAAAAGGTTTATTAATTTATTATGTATACAGAATTCTGTCTTCATGATTGCCTGAATTCCAGAAGAGGACATCAGATTCTTTACTGATGGTTGTAGGCCTCCATGTGCTGTCTAGGAATTGAACTCAGGACCTGTGGAAGAGCAGACAATGTTCTTAACCTCTGAGCCCCCTCTCCAGCCAGCATTGGGCTTTTTTTGTGGGTTCTGGGGACTGAAAGTTGTTCTCTGAGCTCCACACAAAGGCCATGGAAAGCTCACATGGCTAGCTTCAACCTGCTGAGCCATCCCCCTAACCTGGCTTAATTTAACCTCTCAGGAGTCAGCATTAGTTCACATTTGGGGTGGAGCCTGGAAACTTTCTTCATCCCTGTCTTCCTGCCTGGCCACCCCCCAACCCTCCATCCCTCCCACCCTCCCTCCACCCTGGCTTTTCTACCTATCCTTACCCAGCCAGTTTTCTGCAGGAGTAGAAGCAGCAGAAAGTAAGCTTCCTGACTTATTGAGACAGAGCACTGCCTCACTTCTAGGACACGTGGCAACAATTTGCATCTTCAGGGTGCACAGCAGAAATTCTAGCAGCCTATGAGTGTCCAGGCTCTGCAGCCTCTTCTGGCTTCCATTGTGCTGCTCATGTTTCTCTGTCTGTCCTTTATTACCCATGGACAGAACTTGCTGCATGCCAACCTTGAGCTGGGAAGGATGCTGTGGATTGCCAGACTGGGTTATTCACGCTGCCATGACTCACATTCTGGCAGAGAAGCATTGCAAAGCAAACAGTGACAAGGAGGTGCTGCTTGTGGTCTTAGAGTGATCCAGAATGCTGGGATAAAGGGTGAGTTAAGATTTGATCCAACCACCAGGGACAGGCAGGTAGTGTCCCAGGCACAGGAACAGATTGTCAAAGGGTACGTAGTGTGTGCATATATGTGTGAAGACACATGTTGTAGCACATGTGGAGGTCATTTGAAGTGTCAGTTCTCATTGTTCACCTTGTTTAAGACAAGGTCTCCTTCTTGTTCATTCCTGCATGCTTGAGAGTAGCTGGCTGGTTGTCTCTGCCCCCAGTCTTACCATAAGAGCAGTAGAATTTTAGATGGGTGCTGGACACAGTAGATAGGTGCTCTACTGTGTCCAGCCTTTATATGGATTCTAGGGGTTTGAACTCCGGTGTCTGACTATTTCAGGACAAGCACTCTACCACTGAGTTATCTCCCCAGTCCCTGTCCAGGGATCTTGAGTCCAGCCAGGTGGAAACACACAAGGACGAGCGGTAAGAGCCACAGGTCAGAAGCCAACTGGAAGCTACTCCAATGACCCAGCCTTTTATTCTGAGAGCAGTGAGGATTCTGGGGGATTTCTGAGGAGGGACACCCAGGCATCCTGTGGTGTAGTGCAGAGCTCTTTCTAGGATGACAGCCTGGAGTAAGGAGAGGACAACAGAGACAGACTCAGAGCTGAGGTGAGGCAGGGACAAGGGTGATCTCCGCATCTAGCTTGGGTGGCTAGTGGCTTCTGGTCCTGTTCTCTGGAAGGGACTTTCTTTCTTTCTTTCTTTTTTTTTTTTTTTTTGGTTTTTTACGAGACAGGGTTTCTCTGTATTGTTTTGGAGCCTGTCCTGGATCTCGCTAGGTAGACCAGGCTTGGTCTCGAACTCACAGAGATCCACCTGCCTCTGCCTCCCGAATGCTGAGATTAAAGGTGTGCGCCACCACCACCCGGCACCCCATATTTATTTTATGTGGTGTTGGGAAACAAATCCAGGGCTTCATGTATACTAGGCAAACATCCCGAGCACTTAAAATGGTATTTTAAAACTTCTTAATTTTATTTTTAATTTTTAAAGTATAGATCTATGAATTCAAGGCTAGCTTGGTATCCAAAGGGAGTTCCAGGATGGGCCAGGACTATGCAGAGAAACCCTGTCTCAAAAAACAAAAACCATAACATGATAAATAAAATGCCCAGGGACTGATATTGGGGTTCAAACTTCAAGCTGAGTATCAGAAAAGGAAAGCATCTGGCCACTAGCTTCTTACCTCTGCCTCAGGCTGAATGGACTGATCCTGTCTCCACAAGCTCTTACCAAGCCTCAGACTGTAACCTCTCCTCAGCGTGGCTGGAGAATGAATGCCTCATACTCCATCCTTGTTCCTGTCTTTTATACCTCTCTAGTGTTGGGATTAAAGGTGTGAGCTATTGTTTTCTTTTAGGCTGATTCATTCACTCTTGTGTAGATCTGGGTGGCCTTGGACTCACAGAGATCTGTCTACCCCTTATTCCTGAGTCCTAGGATTAAAGGTTTGTACCACCACCTCCTAGCTTCTGGCTGCTGGGATTAAAGGTGTGAGCCACCACTGCCTGATCTCTATAACCTGAGGCTGACTTTGATTTTCTGAATCCTCAGACAAACTTTAATAAATTATAAATAATATATCACTACAGACAACAACAACAAAAAACCCCAAACCCTCAACACTTCTTAATATGCAAGTTTAAGGTGTTCATCAATAGGGGAAAGCAACATTTAGGGTTTTGTTTCATGTTTTGTTTTGTTGGTTTTTCTTTTTTTAATTTTTTAAAAGATTTATTTATTTATTATGTATACAGTGTTTTGCCTGCATGTATTCCTGCAGGTCAGAAGAGGGCACCAGATCTCATTACAGATGGTTGTGAGCCACCATATGGTTGCTGGGAATCGAACTCAGGACCTCTGGAAGAGCAGCAAGTGCTCTTAAGCTCTGAGCCATCTCTCCAGCCCTTGTTGGTTTTTCAAAACAGGGATTCTCTGTGTAGGCCTGGCTGTCCAGGAAGTCATTTTGTAGATCAGGCTAGCCTCAAACTCAGCTCAGAGACCTGCTTGCCTTTGCCTTCCAGGTGCTGGGATTAAAGGCATGTACCACCACTGACCAGCAATTTAGTAATTTTTATATATGTTCTCTTGGGGGGGGTTGATTTTTTGGGGGTTTGTTTGAGGCAGGATTTCTCTGTGGGACAGTCCTGGTTGTCTTGGAACTCACTCTGTAGACCAGGCTGGCCTCAAACTCACAGAAATCTGCCTGCCTCTGCCTCCTGAGTACTGGGATTAAAGGCATATACCATCACCGCCTAGATATGTCCTTTTTAAATTTTTTTTTGTTTTTCGAGACAGGGTTTCTCTGTGGCTTTGGAGGCTGTCCTGGAACTCGCTTGGTAGTCCAGGCTGGTCTCGAACTCACAGAGATCCGCCTGCCTCTGCCTCCCGAGTGCTGGGATTAAAGGCGTGCGCCACCAACGCCCGGCTTTTAAATTATTTATTCATTTTTATTTATTTTTTTACTTATTTTTTATTTTTTTAAAGATTTATTTGTTTATTATGAACACAACATCTTGCTTCCATGTATGTCTGCATGCCAGAAGAGGACACCTGATCTCATTACAGATGGTTGTGAGCCACCATGTGGTTGCTGGGAATTGAACTCAGGACCTCTGGAAGGGCAGTCAGTGCTCTTAACCTCTGAGCCATCTCTCCAGCCCCCATTTTTATTTTATTGCATTGGTTTTCAGCCTGCATGTATGTCTTTGTGAGGGTATTGGACCCTCACAATTGTGAACTGCCATGTGGATATCAGGAATTGAACCCCGATCTTCTGGAAGGGCAGTCAGTACTCTTAATGACTGAGCCATCTCTCCAACCCCATATATATGCTCTTTTTTACAAAATATTTTGTTATTTGTGTGCGTGCTTGAGGAGGACAGAGGCATACCCTGGAGCTGGAGTTACAGGCAGTACCTGTTCTTAACCACTGAGCCATCTCTCCAGCCCTTTATATGTGTTCTCAAATCCTAACAATGATATACTTTTAGCACCAATGCCCAGGGTGGACTTTACACATTACCTTAACCTAGGGAGGAGCCTCCTAGCAGCTTGGGATCTAATATATCCTGGAAACTGCTGACCAGAACTGAATGGCTGGATTTGTCCCCTGGGAGGCCATCAAGTCCTCAGCTCTTGGATCAATGGACCTTTTCAGGCCCCAATAGGCCTTGTGTGCCACTCTCCCCTCTGGAATCTAGATAACTGTTTTCCCGTTAGATCCTAGAACACCTCTTGGCTAGTTTTAATCACTGACCTGCCACATCCTAGCATAATTATATGTTTCTGTCCATTTCTAGCCAGCAAATGAAGTCAAGAACCTGGTCCTCCTGAAGACACCTTCACGCTCAACATTCTGGCCAATCAGGGCATTTCTAGTATGACTGCCCAAAGCTGAGTGATCTGGGGAATGGCTGCTATTAACCAGAGGGGTTGAGGATGTCATGGTCCCTAAAGGTGGGGAGAGGCTTCATAACTAACAAGGACACGTGTAGCTCAGGCTGGTCTCGAATTCACGAGAGCACCCTTGATCCTTCTGCCTTCACTTTCTGCCGAGCTGGACTATCAAGATTTTTATGAGTTCGGGCCGGGCGTTGGTGGCGCACGCCTTTAATCCCAGCACTCGGGAGGCAGAGGCAGGCGGATCTCTGTGAGTTCAAGACCAGCCTGAACTACCAAGCGAGTTCCAGGACAGCCTCCAAAACAATACAGAGAAACCCTGTCTCGAAAAACCAAAAAAAAAAAAAAAAAAAAAAGATTTTTATGTGTTCGTTCTAGGATGGCTTTGCTCCATCACAAGCCCTTATCTGCAGGCAAGGAAACAGAAGCTGACAAAATCAGGGCGCTAGTCTAAAATATCCTAGTAAGGATGTCCAGCGCTGGCCACTGTCAATTCGTCCATCTGAAGAAGCTCATTTGACCACCAGGAGGCGCCAGAGGCCCGCTGATAGGGAGGTCCGGGTACCCGCCAAGGGATTACAGTGAAATGTTCTTTTGAGAGTGGCTCGGAGCGCTCAGGGGAGTGGGTGGGAGGGCACAGCTAGCGAGCCTGGGGAGTCGCGGTACAGAAAGAGTGTGTAGGGGTGGGGGAAGGTGTTGTAAGAGAGCCAGGGTTCAGGAACGTAGGCGGCTGGAAGAGGAGCCAAGGGCGTTTTGGGGCCTCTTGGCTCTGCTTTGTCTGGCTGTGTTGGGGGAAAGGACAGCACCAGGGAAAAGGAGGATTCTCTAAAGGAGTCGGCCCCTGCTTCCTTTCATCTCCGATCTCCTCAGAGAAGCTCACTCAGAGCCTGGAGTAGACCGGACATTCCTAAGTTTTCTCGCAAGAAAACCAGGAAATCAGATCTCAAGCCAGCCTCCTTTGAGCCCAGCCAGTTCTGTCGAATAGGCGCTTGCCCCAGGACTTCCCGGAAAAGCTCAGTTGTGCCAGGGGAGCCACCCTCAGGCTCCTGAGTCTGCTGCCTTTAGATGTACCGCAGTGTTGTTCCTGTACAGTGAATGGTCTCCGTGGGACACATTTGTTTGTCCTCTAAGCCCTCTTCCAGCTCCTTCTTCATGAATGCCAGTGTCGGCGGGGTGGGACCTGAAACGTTTGGAACCACTATTGATATCCCTGTCCTTTCATTCCCCAGGTCAAGTGAGTTTTTCCACCTCTCGGTTTCCACCACATGTTGGGCCAAAAGCGCCCAGCATCTCTTCACTAGGACCATTGTTACTTCCTGAAGTTCCACTGTCACACTTTCTCCAATACCGTTTCCAGGCGACAGCGCTGATAATTGGGGAGTGTCCCCCTACATCTGCCTGCCTCTGATGGGATTAAAGGAGTGCACTCACCACCTGGCCTGGTGTTCCTCTTTAATAAAAAATAAGTTACTGTTATTTGTGTGCATGTGCGCATACACACTTGGGGAGGTCAGAGACAGCTTTGGAGTCTGTTCTTTACTTGCATCTTTACATGGGTTCCAGGGATCTAACTCATCAAGTTTACACAGCAAGCACTTTACCAAAAGAGAGAGTCTCCATGTTGTCCGCATCCCCAGGACTTTTTGGTTCTTTTGCTTTGTTTTGTTTGAGACAGGGTTTTTCTGTGTATAGCCTTGGATGTCCTGGAACTCACTCTGTAGACCAGGATGGCCTTGAACACACAGAGATCTACCTGCTTCTGCCTCCCAAGTGCTGGGTTTATTAAAGGTGTGTGCCACCACCGCTAGCTACTTTTTGGGTTCCTTGAGATAGCCTAAGTAGCCAAGGCTGGCCTCCAACTCCTGATTCTTCGCCTGCCTGCCCAGGGCTGGGATTGTGGGATCATGGGTATGAGCCACCACACAGTGTTTCCATTGCACTCACAATAACATCAGACTCCTGCGTGGCAGGTTTCCTGAGTGGGATGGCCCGTCCTAGCTCCTTGAGACCATGTTCCGCTCACTTTCTAGGCACCGTCTACACTGGCCCTGCCTTGCACGGCTTCCTCTACCTGGAATCCCATGCCTTTGCCCTTCAGTTCTCAACCCCAGCTCTCCTTTCTCGGGGATGGCCTAATTCATCTCCATGACTAGGTCAGAGCCCTTACTCATTTTCCAGTGCCACATAACTCAGCTGCTTACAGGTTGTCAGCGCTGTAATTATGTGTTAGCTTGAATCACTGTTTAGTTATTAACAGACCTCTATTAGGGTAAGGACCGCATTAAGTTTTGCCCACTTAAAAACAGTCTCCAGGGCAGGTGAGGTGAGTGACTTGGCGGCTCACATGCTGGGGTCTGAACTTGGAGCCTCATATTTGCAAGGTGAGTGTTTTACCAGTTGTCCCCTGTCCCCAGCTCTCAGGGTGACCACTTTTGTTTTTTGAGACAGGGTCTCACTGTATAGCTGCAGTTGGCTTGGAACTCCCTATGTCTGCCAGACTAGTTCTGAGCTCACAGATCCACCTGCCTCTGCCATGAGTGCTGGGATTAAAGGTGTGTGCAGAGATCGTCCAGCCACTTGTTCCTTCAAAGACTGAGTTGATTAACCCACTCCCTCTTCATCTGTCTCCCAGGCTAGGCCTGTGCCATATTTTGTCTGAAACTTGGCAACCACTTCTTGCCTCTGGGTGTATAAGGGACCCCTCCCGATGAGGTTCCCCCTCAGAAGTCAGCAGTGTGCTAATGGATCTCCAATCTCACCACATCACCATCCCTATTTAACAGCCCTCAGTTCCCCAGGGCCCTGAAATGAAACCCAAGCTCCTAAGCATAGCCTTCCAAGGCTTGCCTGTGGTCCCCTCCTGCAAACTCCATCTCAAGGATCTTGTCTAACTCAACAAATAGCCAGCTCCTTTTCTGCTAGGCAGTGCGCACTGCTCTCATAGGAGAAGCCTGGGCTCCATCATATTTATCCTCAGTCTTTTAGATACAGGCACACAGTTATTTCCCACACAGTCCTTCCCCTGGCCTTACCTAGAAAGTGCATCTTTCTTTGGACAGTGGTGGTGCACGCCTTTATTCCTAGCACTGGGGAGGCAGAGGCAGATGGATATCAGTGAGTTCTAGGCCAGCCTGGTCTACACAGTGAGTTCCAGGACAGGCTCCAAAGCTACACAGAGAAACCTTGTCTTAAAAAAAAAAAAAACATTAAAAAAAACGGGGGGGGTGAGGGGCTCTTTCTCCTCTCCCCCTTCCTGGCTTTGATTGGTCAACATCCCCTGAAATAAAAGCTACGTGGCCTGGCTAGCCAGCCTGCTCACACTCCTGGGACATGCCCTGCTGATCCGATCTTTCACGGCACTAACCACATGCTTTGCTTTCGAGTTTGTTTGTGTGGTTCACGTCCACCTTCGCCTGCAGGGGCTCAGGCTTGGTTTCTGCTCACCACTACATCCCTCTGGCACTTAGCAGGGGCTCCACAGACAATTTATTGACTGAACAAACGAGGAAATGCCTTCCCAAGAGCACTCAGAGGACACTGTCTTTTAGGGAGATGTTGGTGCCCCTGCCTCAGCTGGGGGGCTGGGAATGGTGTATGAAGGAACTTCAACTGCGGCCCCGAAGGGCTCACCTCTCCCTGGCCTCCCCCGCCATGACATGCTTGTGACTTGCACCTTGCAATCTGTCTGCCTCCGCAGTCCCTTGCAGTTACGCTCAGAAGCACTGTTCACAGTTCCAACAAACCAGCTCCTGCAGGCACCCACAGAGCCTCCCACATGTTGACTCCTGCTTGAAGCTCTCCCCTTGGTACGCCATGCCTGCCTCCTTCCTCAGCTTCCCTAAATGCTAGGATTAAGACCCTGTCAATATGCCCAGAGCTCGCTTCCTTTTCTGTTTCTCAAAAGGGAAACAAATTCATGCATTTGTTTATTTCATGTGTCTCCAGATGAGTTAGAAGCTTTGGGCCACACAGAAAACTCAGTTTGCATTGGCTTAAACCATAAGGGAAGTTCTTTGGAGACAGACTTGCTTAAAAATGTTTTGACTTTGACTTTATTATTGTGTGTGAGTGTATATGGTGTCTGTGTGGGCATGTGGGAGTCAGAGGGCAACTCTGCAGTCACTTCTCTGTCAGGCTTGTATGGCAAGCCTGAGATAGGTCTGTTTCCCCGTTAGTTAATTCAGTGGTGTACTCAAAGACTTAAGATTTTGGAGGTGGCTAAACTGGCTGGTTCTAGCTCTAAGTGTCCCATAAGGTGACAGTCACATTGTCAGCCAGGCCTAAAGTGGTCTGAAGGTTGACCTGAGGCTGAAACACCGTTTCCAAGTTTAGTCTCATAACTGTTGGCAGCATTTCCAAGTTTAGTCTCATAACTGCCGGCAGGAAGCTTCAGTTTCTGGGTACACAGTTCTTTTATAAGAACTCTATTTTTATGCAGTCTTCAATCCAGCCTGAATGACCCAAGAACAATAAAGCAATCAAGGCAGAGGTCTCAACTGAGAGAAACACCATTCTTTCCGCTGTATTCTATTGGCTGCTCAGGTCAAACACTCAGGATGCTGGGAGGTCATCTCAAAAACTAACTGCCACACAGGGTTTCTTTTTAAAATCAAGGCAGCCTTCTCCAGAAGTCCCCAGAAGGCTTCTCTTCACACCTGATGGCTGGAACCATACCACACACATACACAAGTCAATCAGTCCCTCACAGGGAATTCAGGATTATCATTTTTTTTTTTGGCTCATCACAATCATGAGTGACTGCCCCTAGGGCTAGGAACCACCTCTGCTGAGGTGTGGGTTAGTGCTGGGAAAAAGAGCCTGGTGACCTGGAGAGGTTCTAGAAAATCTAGTCTACTGGGAATGAGGAAGGGGCAACAGGGAGGAATGCTGGGAATGTAGCCCCCAGTGTCTATGATGCTCACTGCTCGATTAGAAACTCCACAAGCACAAAGGCTGTCTTTTCTTTTTATTATTTATTATGTACTTATTTATTATGTTATTTTTTAAAAATTTATTGTGTATAGTGTTCTGTCTGCATGTATGACTGCAGGCCAGAAGAGGGCACCAGATCTCATTACAGATGGTTGTCAGCCACTATGTGTTTGCTGGGAATTGAACTCAGACCCTTTGGAAGAATAGTCAGTGGTCTTAACTGCTGAGTCGCCTCTCCAGCCCTGGCTATGTCTTTTCTTACTACTGTACTTCCAGGTTTATGTGCAGCAATTAATATGTTAAGAGAATAAATGAATGAAATCATAACTAAACTTAGAAGACCAAAGGACCATAGGGAGTCCAGGATTGCTACCACCAGTTAGGGGTATACAGCCCCAAGCCCTAAGCTTCTTAGGGTTTCAGAACTCAGGTCACTTGTTCCTAACCTCAGCACGCGCTCCAAAGACACACAGGTTTGGCAGAATTATTCTCACTTTATTTCTGGAGAAGTCTGATCAGATGTAGTAACACTGATTCCAGGCGAGGGCAGGGGGCATTACCCCTGAAGCAACCAGTCTTTTGTGGCCCAAGGTGCCCCCCTCGTTCCCAGACCTGGGTTCTCCCTCAGTTGCAGTTAAATAGAGGAAGATCCCTGGGGAGCCTTGGGAAGAGGGACTGTCTTCTGTACCCGCCTCCTCCATGTAGAGGTGTCCGAGCACAAGCTATTTACAGTATTCACATCCGCGGTACCCCACCAAACCAAGGCAAATACTACAAGTGGCCCTTCCCCGGGGGGAGGCCAGAGAGGCTATGAGTGTATGTGTGTATGGGGAAGATGGGTGTCAGAGTGTGTGAGCACACAAATGCACTGAGGGGCAGAGCCTGCTTCCCGCCACAGACATCAGTCTATAAGGTGCAGATTAAAAACAACAGGGAGGACCGCCCCGAGGGGCCAGGCCACTTCCATCCTTGTTCTCTTTCTCTTCCAGACACCCAAGAGCTGATACATAGGAACCTTCAAGCTGCACCCGGGTCCAAGGCAATTGCTTAAAGGACTTCTGAGGGGAAGGAGATGGGAAAAAGTCAGGGCTGGGGAATCCCAGGTTGGGGGGGGATTTCCCAGGGTCCCTACAGTGCCTACCTGTGACCTGCGGGGGTTGCACCACTGCCTTCTTGAGGAAGGCTTCTGCCTCTGCAAACGGGAGCAGTCCCTCTGGGGTTCGACTCAGACTCTTCTCTCCAGCGGTTCCCTTTGGGGAGAAGCCGTTCTCCTGGTGTGCTGGGAGAGGCTGCAGGCCATTTACCAGGGACCCTGGCACCTCCTTGCTTGGCAGACTGTGGATGTAGGGGTTCAGGGTTAGTGCTTCACCTCCCTGAGAAGCCCACAGTCCATAGCTCCAGCATGCAGCTGCCTGCCTGGCTCAGTCTCTGGGGTTGGGAGCCGGTACCTCCACTGTGGCTCCTGAGGGCCCAGCTCCTCTTTCTGCACAGAATCCTT